AGCAATTATTAGATATTACTAAGGAACATTCAATTTATTATTTCAGTAGGAAACAGTGATTGATAAAAATGATAATATTTCTGGGAAATTTTGTTTCAAGATATCTACTGGTGGCTAGCAGCTGTACTTAAAACTCATAGAACTCTTCATGTTTAAAAAAAAAAGGCATGTTCCTCATTCCAATCATTTCATGTATTATGGCAGATTGGCTCAAATGAAGATTACTAAACTGTTTAATATCTCATTCTTTCCCTCAAATAAAAGTCTTATAAAATCAATCACATATATTCTATGAAGAGTCATTAACTCAAATATATCATTACTTGGATGATAAAAATGTGGATTGGCTTTCACTACAAGAATGAATAGCAAATTAATAACCTTAGCAAAAAGAAAATCTGTATTATGAAAGCTAAGGAAGAGGACCAAAAAATAATTTCACTGTGGCATTTTTCACTTGAGGCACAAATGACCAGACTCAAATTATACTTTGAACCTAATTCTCTAAATATGGCCCTGGTGCTCAGAAATCTGGAAGGAAAGAGAAAAAGAACACAACTAAAAGCAAAGTGAATGGACTAAGTTAAGTGGCAAGTGATTCATTGGAAGATCTGAGGGATGAAGTTAGGGATAGTGCGTGGATACAATCATTAACGATCAACAACAATTGATACAATCCCTCAAAAACCAACACTACTATATTATTGGAAATAATTTTCCTACCAAGACCAGCCGAACAAATATACATTTCCCTCCCACAAACATATGTATTTGTTATTTTCTATTTTTTGCTTAAATGATGCAGCAAGCTTTTACATAGATTGTCATGTTTTTCTCATTCAAGTTGAAGGCTTTGTAAAAATTGCTTCAGATTGAAAACATTGCATTATTCATATTTTCAAAAATGCCATTAAGCCACATTATATAGAATAATACATATGCAAATAAACATATAATAGTCCTCCACCCAATAAAGTCAGCCCATTCTGAAAAAAGCCTCGTTGTATGTATGCTTTCCTGAAAACTATTTTCAATCTCTATTGGAACTATAATATTAATGGAGGTAATTAAATTGGTATATGGCTCATCAAAAGCAGAAATAGCCCCCTCATTAAAAACAATAATGTTATTTACAAACAACATTTTATCTGCTGTATTGCTTCTCTGCACTCAAATAGCACAGAGTAGGAGTCTTTGGCTCCTAGAGAAAAGAAATAATTAAGGATTTTTAAAATAGCACAAGCAGAGAGCAGTTGTGTCATTCATGGCTACTGATGTCATACGTAACTTGATAGTCACGCACCTCACACTACTATATCAGCCCTGCATGTTTAGTTGGTTAAAAAGAATATATTCTGAAATTTTCAAATGCTAGAAAAGCAACAGAAGCTATATCATCTTGAAAAGAGACCTGGGAATCTTGTTCAACACTACATTTATCATGTGAAAAAAAATCATCTGAATCTGGAATGAATTATGTAATGCTTCATACAGCCAATTCATACTGCTTCTCGGAGGATGGTCACATCTCTAAACAGTGAGATCTAAAATATAATGAAATAAAAACTGAATACATGTATTTAGGCTCACAAGTACCAAATTATCAATCAGTCTTATCTTCATAGCTACGGTACTTTCATAAGAGTTCAGAAATTTTATTCAAAAACAATGAGGTATCCCAATTAAAAACTCAGCCAAAGGTGAAATTCAAAAAAGTACATGCTACTATATTTCATCATTTTTAAAAATATTTGGAGTATACCTCTGCCTAGATTATCAGTGGATTCATACATTGTGCTCAGGGAGAAGATAGCACTACATAAATATTTTTATTTTAACTAACAATAGCCTGCAAATAGAATCTGTGTTTGAACAGATCCCCATTTGTAGAATCAAGGCTACTCATTAAGCAATCTACAAACAGAATAAATTGGAAACAATTAGGATTGATATTTCTGTTTGGGTATGGTCAACATTTTAACAGATTTTTGGAGTGGGCAGCCATAATTAAATTAATTAATAATAATAATACATTTTTCTTAACATAATTTTACTGTCTCTGATACTCACAAATATTTCTGAATCACAGAATGCAAAGAAGTTCAGCTGACAAGAATCTTTATACCATCATAGTTAAACTAATCTGATTGGTTGAAGCATTATAACAAACAGTAATTTGCACCAATCAAAGAGTAACACCAGTCAGTAATGATAGGCTCAGCGAGTAGCCTCTTTTATATCTCAGCAAATTAAATTTTATAAACATTTTAGCAAACATCACACTGAATTTCAAGCTTTTACAGTTAAAAACACCACTTCCTGTTAATTTTTGACTATTGTTAATTTCAATCAATCCACCTTATTTCTCATTTCAATATTTTCTAAACAAAATAAGATCAGGCAAACAATATTTAAATATAATACTGAAAGAGGATGTCAATTTTTATAACACTGCGTTTTTCATAAACCTTTGTATCTCTTTATTTCAATAGTATGTTCATAGAAAGATCTGCTAATTGCACTTATAAACTTTTATTGTCACCATATAGATACTTGGTTGATGAATAAAAACTATGATTCTTGATCTAATCTTTCCTTTATCGCATTAAAAGTTCATAAAATTGAGTATCATTAACATATTAAAGTATGACGTAGTACTGTATAATTCTCAACTACTAGGCTACTAAACAACATTTGATTGCCAATTGTCAGATGTGACTGGATTTGGAGTATAGAAAGTTGATAGAGCCCAGATCATAGATGCTATAATCCCATGTTTTTGTGCTATATATCCTGGCTTTGGTTTTCTATTTTCAATTAATTTATTTGGATCCAACATTTCTAAAATGCAAAACAGGCTTTCCTTTAATGTGTAATTTTCCCTACAGTATTAAGCAACATAAACTGCAAGAAATCAGTAATGTAAAACTAAATATACCTAATTATTATATACCTGGTTTTTTAAAAAAATCATAAGACAGGTTTTTAAGTAAACTTTTTTCAAACTTGTAAGACTATTAAAATCACAATAATAGATTTAAACAATTTTAAGAAATCAAATAAAAATTATATCAGATGCATCATATATAAAAATAATTCCTAATTCAATTCAAAGGCAAGGTGAATAGATAAATCTTCAGAGTCCATCCAATAATAAAGGGTAAAGGTCACCTGAATAAAATTTTGCAAGTAAATGAGTCAGGTTGCCTTTGGGAGGCTTGCATAGTGCAGAGATAATGGATTTTTTAAAAATGTATTTTTTACTTTAGAATGAGATAATATCCAAAATGACATATAAGGAAGCATTTGTACCCCCATTTCCTGAGTTAGAAAATCACAATGACGTTGATCCAAAGGATAAAATAGATACAACAATATATTCTAGTGCAGTGGTTTTCAACTTTTTGTATGAATGCCACCAATCGCTCTATCAAAGATACAGGGTTCTGCTGTGACAGTGGCAAAAGTCCACTTTTTCCAATGTTTACCAATATACTTTTTTAGACATTTTATGATTATTTTTTTATCACTTACAGTAAGCTTTAAGATTTGGTTAAACTTTTCATAATTTACTATGGTTTTCATCTGGACTACTTTTGTCCCAGGTATGACGGATGAGGTGGGGTACCACTACTCTAATGAGCTGACAAGGAAAGTGTTGTTTCAATATATTATTGCATATAAACTTATAGTGAACCAGTCAAATTCTGCATTTCATTTTTAAGATTATGATTCTTTTGTAACCCATAACATTTATCAATAAAACGAGTTCAATTGTTTCACCATAAAGGGCTCTGATTATTAATTAAAATATCAGAAAATGGAGGTAGTAAACAATTACATCTTTATGAGATATGATACTTGTTCTCCTCTAGAACAGCTGACCCTTTCAAGCAACACATTCTATTCCTAAAAAGTACAGAACAGTACAGTAATTCACATCAAAAGAATTACCAAATAACTGTTATTTATCCTAAAAGCTGTGCAGAAAAGTACAGCTTGTTCTCAAACCAGTGCAAACTAACTGTTCCACAACAGTATCAACTCAGGGCTTGACAGAAGAAACAAAGCACAATATATTCAACACAATGTTATCTTGGACGGCTTAATAAGACAGATGACTGGCCTGTTTTGCTAACTTGAGATATTGATGTGTGAACCGGGCAGGACATACTGTGTACCCGTCCAAATCTACAATTATATTACCTCCTGAGGAGTAATTCACTCAGTCCCCTAACAGGGATGGAGTTTTGTTTCAGTCTATGGGATTGCAAGTTGGCTTTACTTTTTGGAACAAGGACGCGCATCTCTGCCTGGCCAGCTAAGCACCAAGAGCGGAGCATACTTCATTTATTCTTTCTTTCTTTCTTTTTTAACGCCAAATCCTCTCTTGTCTTCAAACTCATCTCGGGAAGCTTCCGAAAAGAGGGCAATTTAAGAAGGAGCCCGGTGACTTGGCGCTGGCTGTCATTTCTCAAATCAAGCCCTGCTCCCCAATTCCAGATTTAAAGAGGATTGTGGAGAAAAGCTCTAAATATAGCCTCGAGCCACTACTATTGCTTTTACAGCGTCAACGGCTCCCCTCCCTCTCTTCCTTCCTTCCTCCCCACCCGGGCTGCTTGCAATCCGCACGGCCGCGCAGATCTAAGTTGCCTCCCCCGGGTGCCTACTACTCGTCTCTTCCCCCTCCACAACTCTCCCTTCGCCCCGCTCCTTCTCCAAGAGCCCCGCGCCTGATGGCGTAAGGCGGCGGCGCGCTTTAGTAATGAACTCTTTCGGACCCGGGAGGGAGGCTGGCAAGGCACGGTCAAAATCCGCGGCGAGCCAAGGAGAAAGCGCAGCCCAGAATCCGGAGCGGCCAAACCCAATTCGGGGTCACGGTCTCTCTCCCGTTTGCCCCGATTCTCGCCCCGAGATGCCGGCCGGGCACCGAGCGGGACCAGCTGACGCCGTGTGCCCCGCCGCGCCACGCGCAAGTTGGCCCGTTTCCCTCGCCTTACCTATCCGGTAATCCCCGTTTTGCCCGATCTCGGAGAGAAGCCTCCCCCACATGGTGCTGGTAACCTCCTTCGCTGCCGAGGAGAAAGTGAGGGTCGACGGCAAGGCGAAGCGGAGCGTGCCCCCCCTCCCCCCGCCTCCTGCCGCTGGAGGACGCGCGGCCTGGACGTTGGGAACAGAAGGCTGGTCACTGCTGGGCGTTTGCTCCTCTTGTGGCCGTAATCGCCTTTCGCGCTTCGCAGCCCGCCTTGGGCCTGAGGCAAGCTGCGGCCATGGTTGCTTTGCTCCCAGGCCGGCCGCAGCAGCAGCAGCAGCAGCGAGGACAAAACTCCCTTTCTTTTGCTGCGGCTGCCCTCGCTGCGGCGCCGCTTCTCTGCTCTTTCCTCCGCCTCCCCCCTTTTTGCTTGGTGCCGGGCGGAGATAGAGGCGGGAACTCAGCAGATGCTGCTGCTCCTCCGAAGAGGAAAGAGAAGGAGCTGAGACAGCGGGATGCGCGGAGAGGGGTGGCGTGGCAGGCGAGAGTCACGCCGCCTCTTGTCCGCCAGCGGAGTGAGGGGTAACTGGAGAACCGGGGGGAAGAAGAAGAGATTGGCAATCCTGAATTGGAGAGGAACGCCGACCGAAAGTGTCCCTTGCAGTGGGGCCAAAGCCATTTAGTTCGTTCCGGCGTTGGGGAGAAATAATACTCAAAACAAACAAACAATTGTTAAGGGAGATTTTCGGCAATAACTTTCCACCACACGAACAGTGTATCAATAAGGGAATTATGCTATTGAAAGAAGAAACCTGTGTGGATGCTTTCTGCGAGATAAAGGGAACTTTGTGAAATGCGAAGCTTTTAGCTAGGCAAGTTTAATTATATTAGATTTGGATAATTGCCCCCAAAATTTGATGGAGAGTATTTCATTCAAGAAAACAGTTGAATTCCTCCAAGTGCAAAGGATGTGGCTCCAGATAGAATCCATGATGTTGAAATTAGAGTGGAAACCTGGGCCACCAATGGCTTCCCACTTAGAAAAGTTTCCACACAAGATTTATGTAGTAACATCTGCCAGACTGACAAGAAAAAAGCAGAACTAACTCGCAGTTTTCGCTTGTTTCATTTTGTCTCACAGCTATACACCTCAGAAAGGCTACATTCATACCGTAAGTATATATCAGTCTCAAAAAACACGATGTCTAATATGTCCTAATTTTAGTGGAATCTGCCCAGAGGCAAGCGTGATCTGTTATTTGTCCATAAAATGCATACCGACAGGTATGTTTCCCCCCTCAAAAAGGTTGGCGAACGTCTTAATCATTTAAATTTGACATATAGAATAGTATAGAATTCTTTATTGGCCAAGTGTGTTTGGACACACAAGGAATTTGTTTTCAGTATACATAAAACTACATTCATCAAGTATAATATGCAGTATTAGATTAATCCCTTCCCCCCCAAAAAAATCCACCCTGATTAAAAGCACATTTACAATATTCAGCTTTGCATTTTAAGCCCCCTTACCATCTGTTGGATATGTTTTCCTATTAAAACCTATTTGTTGTAGATCAATGTTTCTATTTTTTTTGTTCTTGGAAAACCTTCCCACTTTTAAAAATTATGGAGGAATATGGTGATTTGCTTAATGACCACAGCAAAAAGTTGTAAAACTGGGTGTGACTCTCTTAACAGCCAGATCACTTAGCAATGGAATTTACTGTCCCAATTGTGCTTGCAACTTGTGGGCTTACAACAATTCATTTAATGACCATTTGAAAAAAAAGTGACTTATGACCGTTTTTATTAATGACTTAACGACTGCTGCAGCATCTCCAGAGTCATGTTATCAAAATTCAGGTACGTGGCAATTGACTCATATGTATGATGGTTGCATTGTCCTGGGGTGATACAATCAACTTTTGTAACCTGACAAGCAAAGTCAATGGGGAACATAACATTCATGCTGCTAACTTAACAACTGTAGTGACTCACTTAAAAACTGGCAAGAAATATTATAACATCCTTCTCAGTTAGCATGTCTCACTTGGTAACAAAAAGGTTGGGCTCAGTTTTGGTTGTAGGTTGAGGGCTACCTGTATAGCATCTTTGACTGGGTGGACAGAATTTGGATCTAAATATAATAGAACTCTTGTATCTCTGCAAACAATTATAATCAGAAAAAGGCAACTCTAACAGGGTCACGTAGAGCTAAATGGTTGGATTAGAGACTTGGCACTATCAAGTGCAGTACCAGAAGATAATTTTTTACAAATATGTGGGTTTAAATACTGATCTAGAGTGATTTAGCAGGAATCTTGCCATTCTCATTTTAAATAAACATGTGAGATCACACAATTATTCCAGGGATGTGGGAATAGACAATTCACTAGGTGAAAATGTCTAACTTCTCACTTGTACATAGCATGAAAGAAATTCTGTGAAATCTTTAGCTTAGTCAGCAATTTTCCAATTGTGAAATAACATTTGGAGGAGTAATAATATGGCTCACATCTTAGCCTTTCTCAGTTACTTTTTCATATCTACTAATCATACTTTATATATTCCATATGATATATTACATTTGAAGCAAACACTTTTAATGGACTTTTATAGCTGTCTTTTGTAATTCAATTTCGTAAATTAGGTGTATAGGAAACTATCGTAAGAATTTCAGACTTGGCTAATAGGACCAAAGGCTTATCTAGTTTAGGATTCTACTCCATTAGTAATCAAAAAAATGCTTAAACTAAGTAAGTATGGAGGCAGGATGTGCAAAAGTGCCTTAGAGCTTCCAATTCTAATCTATATATATAAAAGCAAAATACCACTCATGCTTCATCACAAAATCTCCAGAACCGTAAAGCCTAAAAACTTGAAATTTGGCACGTATGTTCCTCTTGGTTTCTAGGTACTCACTAAAAGGATTTTTCAAAATGACCATCAGAGCATTAGTATTTCATATATTATTAACACGTTCTGATGCTAAGGAGTTCTACTCCCCTCCCTACCTGAAAAGTAATCTGTTCCAAATGCAAAACACAAACCCTAACCCTCTTTCTTTTTTAAAACTTCATGATCAGACATATCTGCAACCTAAATGTCCTTGCTTTTAATGCCAGGTCGATTGCTGATAAAACATTGATTATCCTTGGTGTAATGGCATGCTGAAGGTGCTGACCTGGCATATATTGCAGAGACCTGGCTAAGAGAGGAATCAATCACTTCCAGTTGTGTCTGCTGCTCTATGATACAGCAGCCTAAGGCTGGGTGTTTATGTGTGCATTATGTGTGTATCTATAGAAACTTCATGTTAGTAATAGAATAACAATTTGCCAATGTTGAATGTTTGCTGTTGCATTTGAGGAGCTAAAATAGTGGGACAATACTTTACTACAGTCTAACCCTCTGCACAATAGGCTCTTTTCCTGATCTCTTCCTGATTTCCACTGGAATGATCTCTGATGTGGCACTGGACTACTCTGGACTTCTTTTTGGAGGGAATTTTGGTGTTCTTTTTGAGGCTAGACCTTTGTAATTCTTCCAATTCTTCTTCTGTGAATATTTTGTATTATAACTCAAGAATGATCTGCTATCCTCTGTTCTGTTATTTATGATTCTGGATTTTGTTCTTTCCAGAATTGATGCATTTGTTTCAAATACTGTTTTCTCTTCTTGTTGGGCTTGATGTGTAATAGCAGATCATTATTTCTTTTAAAGACATCTTATCTTCCAGTAATTCTTCAGCTAATGGCCTTTGTTATTCAGCTAGCAATCCTGAGCTCTATAGCCCATTTGTCACCAGATGTCCAGGAACTCCAACACCTAGCATGGTTCCTGTAACCTGGGTGATCACTGAATAGGTATGGGTTTCTCTAAGTTATGTCCCATCATATTTTTTGAAGGGAGAGACACTCTTTGTCTGACTCCTCTGATGAGACCTGTCAGTATGTTGGAATCTCTGGCATAGCTCTCATCTTCCTCAGAGCACACAAACCCCACAAGAACATCAAAGTAGGATCCATCTTGGGTCACTCCCTGGCACCAGAGGTCTTGTCTTCTGAGCTTTTCGACTTGTGCTGGAGCCCATCTTATAGCAGCGTTTCTATTTCAGGTGGTGTTTTTCCATACAGCTTCAGATTGCCCATGTAAAGGAGGTAGAATAGTCTGGCAGATGTTTTGGGTATTTCATAGCCATGGCCTGAGTTATTCAGTGTTGTTGACAGAGGAATCAGTGCAATGAGAATCACTGCAATGACAAATAGAAGCGATTAGTGGCAGAGGTAGTATTCAGCAGGTTCTGACCAGTTCTGGAGAACCAGTAGTGGAAATTTTGAGTAGTTTGAAGAACTGGTGGTAATCTTCCCCCAGGAGTGAGGAGGGAATGGAAATTTTACAGTATACTTCCCCTGCCATGCCCACCAAGCCAAGCCACATCCACCAAGCCACACCCACAGAACTGGTAGTACAGAAATTTAAATCCCACCACTGAATAGTAAGTACCTTTGTAAGATTCCTCTCTTGATATTAACCTCTCCCAATCTATCACCATTGTCTAGCAACTGTGTCTTCCATTGTGCCATCGGTCCTTGGACAAAGTTTTTGCTTTTTCTATTCACTCATGTTTTTTCTAGGCAGTTGATTATCCAATCATGTGGCATGAAATCAAATGCCTTCTTGTAATCATTCCACCCTACATTCAGGTTGGTCTTGTTCTTCTTTCAGTTTCCCAAAATCAACTTGTCAGGAGTTGAACTTTTGTTCCTCTGCCATAGGGCAATTTTCTTTCTGCTCTGGTGGAAAGAGCAGAAATGGGTCAGGATTTCATGTCTGCTACAGCAAACATGGATCCCAGTTGTCATCTGACATAAACATGCAGCACAGCACATGATGGATTTGATTTTCTGTTTGGCTGGGGACTTTATGCTCTGAAAGTAGAGAAATTTTCTATAGTGCCCATTGTTATGGATTATTCGTTGATCATTCATCATTTCCCACCACCGCCTTGCTGTCCTGCTCCCCTGGGTCAAAAAGAGAAATCTGATCTAATGTAGGGATACTCTGTTCCTTTCCATTGACCTGGCAGCCAAACTATTTTTGACAGAAGTCTATTGATCCTCAAGAAGACCAATCCCTAACACTACCCATGCTGGCAACCTGTTACTTATGCTAAATTCACCCAGTTTTTCTTACCACCTTTAAAAAATAGGAATTGATGACACTTTGCTTGCCAGCAAGTGACACTAGGAATGATGGCAAATAAAGCCAAGGAAATTCATTAATCACCCTTAAACTGTCCTGTAGGAAAGTTGCAAGGACATAAACATTTGCAGTTTCATTACTAAGGCAAATCAGACCTCAGCCATGAGGCAGCACAAATTATGTTGTATTTTTCTGATGACTCATAGACTGG